GTGACTGTGTGACTGTGTGTGTGTGACTGTGTGTGTGTGTGTATGTGTGTGTGTGTGTGTCTGTGTGTGTGTGTCTGTGTGTGTGTGTGTCTGTGTGTGTGGGTCTGTGTGTGACTGTGTGTGTGTGTGACTGTGTGTCTGTGTGTGTGTACCTGTATGTGTCTGTGTGTGTGTGTCTGTGTGTGTGTGTCTGTGTGTGTCTGTCTGTGTGTGTGTGTGTCTGTGTGTGACTGTGTGTGTCTGTTTGTCTGTGTGTGTGTGTGTCTGTGTGTCTGTGTGTCTGTGTGTGACTGTGTGTCTGTGTGTGTGTCTGTGTGTGTGTATGTGACTGTGTGTCTGTGTGTGTGTGTCTGTGTGTGTGTCTGTGTGTGTCTGTGTGTGTGTGTCTGTGTGTGTGTGTACCTGTGTGTGTGTCTGTGTGTGTGTGTGTGACTGTGTGTGTGTGTGTCTGTGTGTGTGTCTGTGTGACTGTGTGTGTGACTGTGTGTGTGTGTCTGTGTGTGTGTCTGTGTGTGTGTCTGTGTGTCTGTGTGTGTCCGTGTGTGTGTGCCTGTGTCTGTGTGTGTGTCTGTGTGTCTGTGTGTGTGTGTGTGTGTCTGTGTGTGTCCGTGTGTGTGTGCCTGTGTCTGTGTGTGTGTCTGTGTGTGTGTGTGTGTCTGTGTGTGTCTGTGTGTGTGTGTGTGTCTGTGTGTGTCTGTGTGTGTGTGCGTGTGTGTGTGTGTCCGTGTGTGTGTGTCCGTGTGTGTGTCTGTGTGTCTGTGTGTGTGTCTGTGCGTGTGTGTGTGTGCGTGTGTGTGTGTCTGTGCGTGTCTGTGTGTGTGTGCGTGTGTGTGTGTCTGTGCGTGTGTCCGTGTGCGCGTGTGTGTGTCCGTGTGTGCGTGTACGTGTATCCGTGTGTGTGCGTTTGGTGGGTTAGAGCCGTAGCGGCGGTCGTGGTGGTGGTGGTAGCGGCGGTGGTGGCGGTGGTGGTGGTGGTGGCGGTGGTGGCGGTGGTGGTGGCGGTGATGGTGGTGGTGGTGTTGAGTGTGGAGCTGACCCGGTGCCGGACAGGTGGCGTGTGACAAGATCGGCCTCTGTGGAGGAGGAGCAGGAGGCTCGTGAAGGACATTCATGCCCGCCCCTGCCCACGATCATTCCCTGGGTTTGACCCGGCAGACTGGATTGTGTGAGGAGCTCACAAATCCTTGAAAGATCTGGGCAAGGTCCCATCGGTGAGCTCCTCCGGCGGGCAAGGCTGCGATGGCTGGGTCATGTAGCCCGCATGCCCAGCCACCGCATGCCGAAACAGCTTTTGTTTGGCCGGATCGAGGGGGCTAAACGGGCGCGGCACGGGCTGGAGAAGAGATGGAGTGATGTGGTACAGGAGGACGTGGAGCTGAGTGGACTTGCCGATGACTGGTACCAGCGGTGTCAAGATCGGCCTCTGTGCAGGAGGAGGCTCGTGAAGGACGCTGCTGCTGCTACTGGAGCTCGTGCCAGGCTAGGTGCACCTTGAGGCTACTGAGGCTCGTGCCAGGCTAGGTGCACCGTGAGGCCACCGGGCAGCTGGAGACAGTCGCCCTCCAGCAACAACAGCGGAGGGCGGAGGAGCGACGCTCACAACAACGAGCGGAGCGCCGGGCGGATAAAGCGCTGCAAGTTGGCACAGTAGGGGGCACAGCTGGTGCACCTAGCCTGGCACAGCAGCAGCAAAAGTCAACCCATGGCACCTGCTGGCTCTGTCCCTTGACCTCCGCCTGGTGCACCTAGCCTGGCACAGCAGTAGCAGTCAACCCTTGGCGCCTGCCTATCAGCAGCGAGCCTTTTGACACTTCACGTGGTAGCGTCAAGGTGCACCTAGCCTGGCACGGGCGTCGTGCCGACGTCACCGCCACTTAGCGGCGATCTGCGGCTGTTGTTGTTGCTGTTGTTGCTGTTGTTGTTGATGTTGTTGTTGCTGTTGTTGGAAAGCGGCGGCCTCAGCGGTCAGCCGCTGATTCTACAAACCCCCAGCATCAACCCCATCGCCACCACCATCGTCACCATCGTCACCACTATCACCACCATCACCACTATCACCACCACCACAACCATCACCATCGTCACCACCATCACCACCATCATCACCACCATCGTCACCACCATCACCGCCACCACCAACACTATCACCACCACTACCATCACCACCACCACCACTGCCACCACCACCACTATCACCAACACCGCCACCACTATCACCATCGTCACCACTATCACCATCATCACCACTATCACCATCATCACCACTATCACCACTATCACCATCATCACCACTATCACCATCATCACCACTATCACCACTATCACCATCATCACCACTATCACCATCACCACCACCACCGCCACCACCACAACCATCACCACTACCACCACCGCCACCATCACCACCGCCACCACCACCACCACCACCACCACAACCACCGCCACCACCACCACCATCACCGCCACCACCACCACCACCTCCGACCAATCGGTAACCCGGCACATCCCTAACCCCACCTGGTACTGATTGATTAGTCATGGGGGTAGACCTGATACTGATTGATTAGTCATGGGGGTAGACCTGGTACTGATTGATTAGTCATGGAGGTAGACCTGATACTGATTGATTAGCCATAGGGGTAGATCTGATACTGATTGATTAGTCATGGGGGTAGACCTGATACTGATTGATTAGTCATGGGGGTAGACCTGATACTGATTGATTAGTCATGGGGATAGGCCTGGTACTGATGGGATGAAGGTTCTGTATCAGATGGGATGGAGGTTCTGTATCAGATGGGATGAAGGTTCTGTATCAGATGGGATGAAGGTTCTCTATCAGATGGGATGGAGGTTCTGTATCAGATGGGATGAAGCTTCTGTTTCAGATGGGATGGAAGGTTATCTATCTGATGGGATGAAGGTTCTGTATCAGATGGGATGGAAGGTTCTGGATCTGATGGGATGAAGGTTCTGTATCAGATGGGATGGAAGGTTCTGAATCAGATGGGATGGAAGGTTATCTATCAGATGGGATGGAGGTTCTGTATCAGATGGGATGGAAGGTTCTGAATCAGATGGGATGGAAGGTTATCTATCAGATGGGATGACGGTTCTGTATCAGATGGGATGGAAGGTTCTCTATCCGATGGGATGGAGGTTCTGTATCAGATGGGATGGAAGGTTATCTATCAGATGGGATGGAAGGTTATCTATCAGATGGGATGGAAGGTTATCTATCCGATGGGATGGAGGTTCTGAATCTGATGGGATGGAGGTTCTTTATCTGATGGGATGGAGGTTCTCTATCCGATGGGATGGAGGTTCTCTATCTGATGGGATGAAGGTTCTGAATCAGATGGGATGGAAGGTTTTCTATCAGATGGGATGGAGGTTCTCTATCAGATGGGATGGAAGGTTATCTATCCGATGGGCTGAAGGTTCTGAATCAGATGGGATGAAGGTTCTGAATCAGATGGGATGAAGGTTCTGAATCAGATGGGATGGAAGGTTATCTATCCGATGGGATGGAGGTTCTGTATCAGATGGGATGGAAGGTTATCTATCAGATGGGATGGAAGGTTATCTATCAGATGGGATGGAAGGTTATCTATCAGATGGGATGGAAGGTTATCTATCAGATGGGATGGAAGGTTCTGTATCAGATGGGATGGAGGTTCTCTATCAGATGGGATGGAAGGTTATCTATCAGATGGGATGGAGGTTCTCTATCAGATGGGATGGAAGGTTCTGTATCAGATGGGATGGAAGGTTATCTATCAGATGGGATGGAGGTTCTGTATCAGATGGGATGGAGGTTCTCTATCAGATGGGATGGAGGTTCTCTATCAGATGGGATGGAAGGTTATCTATCAGATCGGATGGAAGGTTATCTATCAGATCGGATGGAAGGTTATCTATCAGATGGGATGGAAGGTTATCTATCCGATGGGATGGAAGGTTATCTATCAGATGGGATGGAAGGTTATCTATCAGATGGGATGGAAGGTTATCTATCAGATCGGATGGAAGGTTATCTATCAGATGGGATGGAAGGTTATCTATCCGATGGGATGGAAGGTTATCTATCAGATCGGATGGAAGGTTATCTATCAGATGGGATGGAAGGTTATCTATCCGATGGGATGGAAGGTTATCTATCAGATGGGATGGAAGGTTATCTATCAGATGGGATGGAAGGTTATCTATCAGATCGGATGGAAGGTTATCTATCAGATGGGATGGAAGGTTATCTATCCGATGGGATGGAAGGTTATCTATCAGATCGGATGGAAGGTTATCTATCAGATGGGATGGAAGGTTATCTATCAGATGGGATGGAAGGTTATCTATCAGATGGGATGGAAGGTTATCTATCAGATCGGATGGAAGGTTATCTATCAGATCGGATGGAAGGTTATCTATCAGATGGGATGGAAGGTTATCTATCAGATGGGATGGAGGTTCTCTATCAGATGGGATGGAAGGTTATCTATCAGATGGGATGGAGGTTCTCTATCAGATGGGATGGAAGGTTATCTATCAGATGGGATGGAAGGTTATCTATCCGATGGGATGGAAGGTTATCTATCAGATGGGATGGAAGGTTCTCTATCCGATGGGATGGAAGGTTATCTATCAGATGGGATGGAAGGTTATCTATCAGATGGGATGGAAGGTTATCTATCCGATGGGATGGAAGGTTATCTATCAGATGGGATAGAAGGTTATCTATCAGATGGGATGGAAGGTTATCTATCAGATGGGATGGAAGGTTATCTATCAGATGGGATGAAGGTTCTGTATCAGATGGGATGGAAGGTTATCTATCAGATCGGATGGAAGGTTATCTATCAGATCGGATGGAAGGTTATCTATCAGATCGGATGGAAGGTTATCTATCAGATGGGATGGAAGGTTATCTATCAGATGGGATGGAAGGTTATCTATCAGATGGGATGGAAGGTTATCTATCAGATGGGATGGAAGGTTATCTATCTGATGGGATGGAAGGTTCTCTATCCGATGGGATGGAAGGTTATCTATCAGATGGGATGGAAGGTTATCTATCAGATGGGATGGAAGGTTCTCTATCCGATGGGATGGAAGGTTATCTATCAGATGGGATGGAAGGTTATCTATCTGATGGGATGGAAGGTTCTCTATCCGATGGGATGGAAGGTTATCTATCAGATCGGATGGAAGGTTATCTATCAGATGGGATGGAAGGTTATCTATCCGATGGGATGGAAGGTTATCTATCTGATGGGATGGAAGGTTCTCTATCCGATGGGATGGAAGGTTATCTATCTGATGGGATGGAAGGTTATCTATCAGATGGGATGGAAGGTTCTCTATCCGATGGGATGGAGGTTCTCTATCAGATGGGATGGAGGTTCTCTATCAGATGGGATGGAAGGTTATCTATCCGATGGGATGGAGGTTCTGTATCAGATGGGATGGAAGGTTATCTATCAGATGGGATGGAAGGTTATCTATCAGATGGGATGGAAGGTTATCTATCAGATGGGATGGAAGGTTATCTATCAGATGGGATGGAAGGTTATCTATCAGATGGGATGGAAGGTTATCTATCCGATGGGATGAAGGTTATCTATCAGATCGGATGGGAGGTTATCTATCAGATGGGATGGAAGGTTCTCTATCCGATGGGATGGAGGTTCTGTATCAGATGGGATGAAGGTTATCTATCAGATGGGATGGAAGGTTATCTATCCGATGGGATGAAGGTTCTCTATCAGATCGGATGGAAGGTTATCTATCAGATGGGATGGAAGGTTATCTATCAGATGGGATGGAAGGTTATCTATCAGATGGGATGGAAGGTTATCTATCAGATGGGATGGAAGGTTATCTATCTGATGGGATGGAGGTTATCTATCAGATGGGATGGAAGGTTCTGTATCAGATGGGATGGAAGGTTATCTATCAGATCGGATGGAAGGTTATCTATCAGATCGGATGGAAGGTTATCTATCAGATGGGATGGAAGGTTATCTATCAGATGGGATGGAAGGTTATCTATCCGATGGGATGGAAGGTTATCTATCCGATGGGATGGAAGGTTATCTATCAGATGGGATGGAAGGTTCTCTATCCGATGGGATGGAAGGTTATCTATCAGATGGGATGGAAGGTTATCTATCCGATGGGATGAAGGTTCTCTATCAGATCGGATGGAAGGTTATCTATCAGATGGGATGGAAGGTTATCTATCAGATGGGATGGAAGGTTATCTATCAGATGGGATGGAAGGTTATCTATCAGATGGGATGGAAGGTTATCTATCTGATGGGATGGAGGTTATCTATCAGATGGGATGGAAGGTTCTGTATCAGATGGGATGGAAGGTTATCTATCAGATCGGATGGAAGGTTATCTATCAGATCGGATGGAAGGTTATCTATCAGATGGGATGGAAGGTTATCTATCCGATGGGATGGAAGGTTATCTATCCGATGGGATGGAAGGTTATCTATCAGATGGGATGGAAGGTTATCTATCAGATGGGATGGAAGGTTATCTATCCGATGGGATGGAAGGTTATCTATCAGATGGGATGGAAGGTTATCTATCCGATGGGATGGAAGGTTATCTATCAGATGGGATGGAAGGTTCTCTATCCGATGGGATGGAGGTTCTCTGTACCAAATGAATTGGGGGGTTCGACTCTGCCATGAGGGTTTTGCAAACCGATGGGATTTGGTTTCTCTACCAAACAAGGGTCAGGTATCGAACTCACGAGGGGAGGGATGGGGAGAAGGGAGGGAGGGAGGGGAGGGGAGGGGAGGGAGGGAGGGAGGGGAGGGGAGGGAGGGGAGGGAGGGAGGGGTGAGGGGGCTGGGTGAGGGGGAGAGGGAAGGGGGAGGGGTCAGGGGGAGGGGTCAGGGGGAGGGGTCAGGGGGAGGGGCGGTGGGAGATTTTTCTCAAGGGCTCCCACTTTTCCTCCCTACACGTGGGCCGTCCGCGGCTCCGCCCCCTCATCGGATGACGAGCAAGGTAGGGGGCGGGGCCACGGGTGACGTCGACGGCGCATCGCCCCGCCCCCTCACGAAACACACTCAGCTCAGCGAGCACGCGGGCAGAGAGAGGGAGAGAGGGGGCACGCTCGATGCTGATTTCGTCCTCGTGTTTTAGGGTTTGTTTGTTTGTTTGTTTGGTTGTTGTTGTTGTTGTCGTTGTTGTTGCATTTCCGCCGCGCTTTGGCTCCGCATGGTGGTGCGAAAGAAGTTCAACTTGTGTACATACTACACTACATTATACACTACATTATACACTACATTATACACTACATTATACACTACATTATACACTATACACTACACTACATACTACACTACATTATACACTACATTATACACTACACTACATTATACACTACATTATACACTACATTATACACTATACACTACATACTACACTACATTATCCACTACATTATACACTACACTACATTATACACTACATTATACACTACATTATACACTACATTATACGCTACATTATACACTATACACTACATTATACACTACATTATACACTGCATTATACACTACGTTATACACTATACACTACATTATACACTACATTATACACTACACTACATTATACACTACATTATACCCTATACACTACACTACATTATACACTACATTATACACTTCATTATATACTACATTATACACTACATTATACACTACATTATACACTACATTATACACTACATTATACACTACATTATACACTACATTATACATTATACACTACATTATACACTACATTATACACTATACACTACACTACATTATACACTACATTATACACTACATTACACACTACGTTATATACTACATAATACACTACATTATACACTACATTATACACTATACACTAGACTACATTATACACTACACTATACACTACATTATACACTACATTATACACTACATTATACACTACGTTATATACTACATTATACACTACATTATACACTACATTATACACTATACACTAGACTACATTATACACTACACTATACACTACACTACATTATACACTACATTATACACTACATTATACACTACATTATGCACTACATTTTACACTACATTATACACTACATTATACACTACGTTATATATTACATAATACACTACATTATACACTACATTATACACTATACACTACACTACATTATACACTACATTATACACTATACACTACACTACATTATACACTACATTATACACTGCATTATACACTACGTTAAACACTACATTATACACAACATTATACACTACATTATACACTACGTTATATACTACATTATACACTACATTATACACTACATTATACACTACGTTATATACTACATTAAACACTACATTATACACTACATTATACACTACGTTGTATACTACATTATACACTACATTATACACTACGTTATACACTACGTTATACCCTACGTTATATACTACATTATACACTACATTATACACTACATTATACACTACATTATACACTACACTACATTATACACTATATTATACACTATACACTACACTACATTATACACTACATTATACACTACATTATACACTACACTATACACTACATACTACACTACGTTATATACTACATTATACACTACATTATACACTACACTACATACTACACTATACACTACACTATACACTACACTATACACTACACTACACATTACACTATACACTACACTATACACTATGCTACACTATACACTACACTATACACTACACTACACTAGACACTACACTATACACTACACTATACACTACACTATATACTACACTACTATACACTACACACTGCACTATACACTACACTATACACTACACTACACACTACACTATACACTACACACTACATTATACACTACACTACACTATACACTACACTGTATACTACACTATACACTACACTACACTATACACTACACTATATACTATACACTACACTATACACTACACTATACACTACACTATACACTACACTACACTATACACTACACTATATACTACACTATACACTACACTATACATTATACACTACACTATATACTACACTATACACCACACGACTATATTGAAAACTAAATTCTTTAGAACTGCCCGTTGTTGTTGTTCTTGTTGTTGTCGTGGTTACTGACTGTTGACCTTCCCCAGCACCTCTGATTAGCACGGATGGCTACGTACGGTGCAAAAGAAGTTCAAATTATGTACATACTACACTACACTATATACTACACTATACTATACACTACACACTACACTATACTATACACTACTACACTATACACTACACTATACACTACACTACACTTTACACTACACTATACTATACACTACACACTACACTACACTATACGCTACACACTACACTACTACACTATACACAACACTATATACTAAACTATATACTACACTATACACTACACTATATACTACACTATACACTACACTATACACTACACTATATACTACACTACACACTACACTACACTATACACTACTACACTATACACTACACTATACACTACAATATACACTACACTATATACTACACTATACACTACACTATATACTACACTACACAGTACACTATACAATACACTATACACTACTATACACTACTACACTATACACTATACACTACACTATACACTTTACTATACACTACACTATACACTATACTACTGTAAACTACACGATACACTACACTATACACTACGCTATACACTACACTACTGTATACACTACACTAAACTATACACTACACTATACACACTATACACTACACTATACACTACACTACACACTACACTATACACTACACTATACACTACACCATACACTGCACTATACACTGCACTATACACTACACTATTTACTACACTATACACTACACTATACACTATACACTACACTATACACTACTATATACTACACTATACACTACACTATACACTACACTATACACTACACTATACACTACACACTACACACTACACTACACTATACACTACACTATATACTATACTACACACTATATACTACACTACACTATACACTACACTACACACTACACTACACTACTATACACTATACTATACACTACACTACACACTACACTACTATTCACTACACTATACACTACACTATACACCACACTACGCTATACACAACACACTACACTACACACTACACTACACACTACACTTTACACTACACTATACACTACTACACTATACACTACACTACACTATACACTACACTACTATTCACTACACTATACACTACAATATACACCACACTACACTATACACAACACACTACACTACACTACACACTACACTTTACACTACACTATACACTACTACACTATACTATACACTACACTATACACTACACTACTCACTATGTACTGCTACACTATACACTACACTACAATACACTACACTATACACTACACTACTATACACTACACTATACACTACTACACTATACACTACACTATATACTACACTATACACTATACAATACACTATACACTACACTACTACACACTACACTATACACTATACTACTATACACTACACTATACACTACACTATACACTACACTACTACACACTACACTATGCACTACTACACTACACACTACTACACTATACACTACACTATACACTACACTACACACTACACTATACACTACTATACACTACACTATACACTACTACACTACACACTACACTACTACACTACATTATACACTACACTACTACACTATACATTATACACTACTACACTACACACTACTACACTACACTATACACTACACTACTATACACTATACACTACACTATACACTACACTATACACTGCACTATGCACTACACACTACACTACACACTACACTACTACACTATACACTACACTATACACTACTACACTATACACTACACTATACACTACACACTACACTATACACTACACTATACACTACTACACTACACACTACTACACTATACACTACACTATAAACTACACAACACACTACACTATACACTACACTACTATACACTATACACTACACTATACACTACATTATACACTACACTATACACTACTACACACTACACTACACACTACACTACTACACTACACTATACACTACACTATACACTGAAACACTACACACTATACACTACACTATACACTACACTATACACTACACACTACACTACTACACTACACTATACACTACACTATTCACTACTACACACTACACTACTACACTATACACTACACTATACACTACACTCCACTATACACTACACTATACACTACTACACACTACACTACACACTGCACTATACACTACTATACACTACACTATACACTACTACACTACACACTACACTACTACACTACATTATACACTACACTACTACACTATACATTATACACTACTACACTACACACTACTACACTACACTATACACTACCACACTACACTATACACTACACACTACTACACACTACACACTACTATACACTACTACACTACACACTACACTACTACACTACACTATACACTACTACACTACACTACACACTAGACACTATACACTACACTACACACTACACTACACACTACACTACACTACTACACTACACTATACACTACTACACTAGTCATCATCT